TTTTCATATGCCCCTGTTGAAACACACAAAAATTAGAAGTCTTGTTTCTAACGTAAACATGATATCACAGGTTGATATCACTAGTTAATGAATATTTCATAGATACAAATGTCATCTAACATTCCATCTTCTTCAAAATAGCACATTAATCTATGTACCTTCAATCCACTGCGGCTAGCATATTCTTTTCCACACTCTGTGCAGCTGTAAGGTTTCTCTGAGCGCTGTGGTTGTGGAGGGGCTACAGGAGTCTCTGGTGATGTCACTTCAGTATTTTCTCCATCTTTCCTTTGATCCTCTTCTGCAGACTCTTGTGCATCCTCAGCTTTCACCTTCTGCTCTACAGCTCTGTCTGGAATGTGCAAATAAGCATTCTCTGTGGCTGGGTGAGAGTCGCCATCATTGGACTCAAGAACACGGTCTATTCCATTCACATGAAGTGTTGTCTGATTGCTGCTTTGGTCTGATTTTGACTCAGTGGACAACCCTGGGCTGGAGGGTGGAGTGAGGGCAGGTGACAGATTGAGAGCTTCAGAGCTTAAACTAGGATTTGGCCCGCTGATCACTGTTTGATGTGAAGCGCCATTGTGCCATTTTTTATCAAGTAAGGTGTCCTGGGAGTTGGTCCGGGTGCAGAGAGATAAGGGCGTGTCTTCATCCTCTTCTGCAGAGCCACTGACAACTTGAGATTTGCTGTGATGGACTGTGCCATAATGGTTCTCATCTGCTGGAATTGAATTGTCAGCTGGGCTATTTTCTCCTGAGGGGTCCGCCTTCTCCAGGGTGACAGTTGGACTAGTCTCAGGTGTGTTGACATAGGGATCTTGATCTGACTCCATGAGCTGATCTGCATCACCCGATGTAGCATCTCTTAGGCTAGTCTCAGACTCCAGTAAGCTGGCAGAGGAAGACATGCTCATATTTAGAGGACGAGACTGAAGGTTTTTGGGTAAAGAAACTCCATCCATTTGACCAGGGTCTTCTTCTGGCTGCAGGTCCCCATTACCTTCTGGAGGCAACTGGCCCCCCAGATGCATCCGAATGTGATGCTGCAGTACCACGGCATTGGTAAACTTGCGCTGACAGAGCGGGCATGAATTCTGGCCACGTGCATTGGCTGGACGCGCTCTGTGTGTGGCTAGATGAGCCCTTAGACTTCCCTTTGTGGAGAAGGAGCGGCCACAGAGTTTGCAGGGGAATGGACGTTCACCCAAGTGAGTGGCCTGGTGGAGACGTAAAGCCCTTGGGCAGCTAAGGACACGGAGGCACACCCCGCACTGATTAGGAACCAAAGAGGAGGCAGTTGACCCTTGGAGCTCTTGGCTGGCTGGCTCACTGTTAGGACTCGGGTTCAGCCCTAAGGCCGCCATCATCTCCCTCCTGTAAGCTAAGATAGCATTAGCGTTGGAGGTGGATATGTCATTAGCCTGAGCCTGGCCTTCATTGGTGCTTTTTAGGAGGGGCTGCTTCTCTAACTTCTGCGCCAGTCTTTGCAGCTTTGAGGTGTCAGAGGTGGTAGAGGATGAGGAAGGAGAGGAGGATGGAGAAGAGGAGTTTTGAGGTTTGGGGTATGAGGAGAAAGGGAAGGTAAGTGGGAGGTGAGGGGAAGGGAGGAGAGGAGTGCGAAGAAGGGCAAGGCTAGGATGGTGGGCAGAGGGACCTGATGGGAAAAGAATCTTCGGAAGGTGTGCCAGCTGAGAATATGGAGAACCAGGATGTAAGGTAGAGTGTGGTGGTGTATTCTCATCAAACCTCTGCTGCTTCGCACCTTTGAATTGACCAGTCATAGCAGAAGAGGTGATGGATGAAGATGATGACTGCACACTAGTGGAAACAGAGGCTGCAGCTGCAGCTGAGGCACGGTTAAGCTGTAGCAAAGAGTGGGCAGTGGAAAGCAGGGCCAGATCAACACTGGGTGGTAACGGAAGGGAGGAGGGAGATGGATGAGATGACCCAGACAGGAAACCAAGAGCTAAACTATCTGGCACACCTACACTACCTTTGACCCCAAATGGCTCCTCATCCTCTGCTCGACGTTTTCTGCGCCTCTGTGATGGCCCTGAGCCAGATCCTGATTGGCTCTGCTCAGACAGAACAGGTGGCAAGAGAGAGAGTGACAGCTCAGGATTTTGCTCACGGTGACGAAGGAAGTGGGCTTTGAGATTGCCGCGGGTAGTGAAACGACTAAGGCAGACCGGACACTGGTATGGACGCTCACCGGTGTGGGATCTCAGATGGATCTGTAGTGAGGAGTCACTGCTTAGAACCTTCCCACAGAACCGGCAGATGTGCTGCTGGCGGCCTGAAGAGGAGCTTGAAGATCCATTTGACATACTAACAGTGGAACTGAGAGATAGATGGTCATGGGAGAGGCTCACCGTGGGCAAGGGAGGAGTTGGGAAATTCATGCCATTGCCATGACTGATGGAGGTGTTGGGAGACTTTTCATTGAGGTAGCGAGGTGGAAGTCCTAGCGTTAGAGATAGAGGGTGCACAGAGGCTGAAGAGGTGACTAAGGATGAGGAAGATGTTGCGGATGAAGTTGTGGAATAAGGAGTTCTGGTTCCATTTGTGTGAGATTGGTTGGGCTTGGTTGTAGGAGTTTGGGTAATTAAAGAGGCACGGGAGACAGTATTAGGTGGGGAGCTAGAGCCTGCATCACTCTGTTGACCCTCCACAGATCCCTGAGGTGCATCTTGGGCACTGACAATACCACCTAGGCGCAGCACCTGCCTGCAGATTTCTTCTGTAATCTGCATTTGGTGAATTTGTCTTTGCTGCAGGACCCGAAGTTCCTCTAATAGTACAGCAAGGGTCGGAGGCACCTGGAGTTGCTCTGAAGGGGATGAAGGAGTTTGGTGGATGGGACTAGGACTTCCTTGATGTGGTGGGGCACCCAGCGATGATGAAGAGGATAAAGAGGAGGTAGTGGTGGTTGCAGAAATACCCATTGGTGGGGATGTCACAGTGGAGTGGGGCTGATGAGATGGAATATGAGTGGATTTCTGCTGGCTAGGGGGAGGAGAGTGGGTCTGGGAGGACAGGGAAGGATGTGGGAAGTCTGGAGAGAGAGATGAGTGTGCATTAGGCAGAGATGTAGAATATGAGGCTATGTGATTTGGCCAATGGAGAGGAGATGAGCTCTCATTGGGGAGCGAGGGGGCATGAAGCCCACCAGGAGATGGTCTTGGGGCCAAAGGAGGCTGACAGTCCTGAAGGGATGTAGGAGAGGAAGAGGAAGATGACGAGGTAGTTTCAGAGGCAAGAGAGGTGGATGGCGATTTCACTGGTAGCTGGTCATCTGGAAAAAAAAAGAAGTTTATAAGTATATAGCATTGATTTATCAGACAATGACAATTATTTGAAAACATAATATTGCTGTAGCATTGTTTAATTATTTTATAATTCAATTTATATATTAATTGTTATAACAGAGTTCTATAAGAACAAGTTATGAGAAAGCCTTCCTATTAAGGCCAACTCCTTTGTCAACAGTTTTCTTTCACCAAAACGTTGAATACCACTTGTCATTCTGCATTCTTAATGATCTTTCACCCTTAAATCACAACCTGCATATACCACACTCACATTTTCTGTCCTCACTCTTGCCACAACTCACTAACCACCTTGCAGCTATTGCAATGCTTTTTAGAGGACAATAGATATCACCACAACAACCCATAACCCCTCTTAACCCAACCCTCTGTCCATCAACTACATCTTTCATCTCTCTATTCACCCTTCCCCCCTGACCCCACACAGGGTCAGAGGTCAGGGCATAGAAAGGGTTTTGGGCACTGTCCGTGCGCTCTGATTGGCTAGATGACCTAACCTCATGAGCTCTAAGGTCAAATTCTTTTAGAATCTTGAGCGCAGAAAAAGAACTAGAAGAAGGGGGTTGGGAAAATAGTGGGTTGACTGACAGATGAACCATTTCCATTCTCTGGCATACTGATACAGAAAATTACTGTACACAGACGTGTGTAATCAAATCTGCTAAAATGCACCAGAAACACTCAACCCTAAAAAAATCCCTTCACAACTTACTACCTGTTCTTGCCAATAGCTATAGAAATCGAATCACAAAGGTGCTGTATCTTTAAGATTCCTTAGCTAAATTTTTCTTCCATGCATGCAAGCAATGGTGGATTCTTTCTCCTCTCTGTATTCTAACAGTGGAACCCCCAACTGAGCAGAGGTACAAAGTGAATAGAGGCAAGGGAGTGGGAAGGGGGGAACACAGTGGGAGCAGAAAAGAGGAGCACATGGAAACATGAGAGAGAGAATAAGGGAGAAGAGGAAAGAACAGAGTGAGAAGAGATTAATCTTTACCCAAACACCCCCTTCGTCCCCTCCCCCTTGCCTGCAACTTATTCACACTGAATAGGAGACTCCTCTAAATGCATAAAAGACCCACAGCAATCAAACTGACTATGCTGCAAGTCTCTTAGAGGATTGGCATTAGTGAAAAGCTAACACAGTTATGGCTCCTGAGTGATTCATGTCAACATAATGACCGGCCATACGGATGAACACCTTTAGACCAACCCTCTGGCCATGTCTTCAAGAGCCTTCTTTCAATATAACACATTGAGCAGACATTTTGAGCGGGAAATGTCAGTAAACTACTTATTTTTTAAAAAGTCAGGTCATGGCAGAAATGTGAGCTGCTGCTGCTCTTAAACAATGGCTCACTAAGTAGAGGGCCAAACGCACTAGTGCAATTTAACCTGTATCATAGTTCTTCAGGTGATAAAGAGTTCCTATTTTTAGCAATAAAGATAAACGTATACAAAATTATTATTTGAATTACAGGTGCTCTTGGTAAACTAAAACTAGTTATGCAAAAACCTTTTAATTAAACAGTCGTTTTTTAATAATATAGCATCACGATCCATTAGTCCAGGATAACAAATAATTAACAAAGGATTGATTTCCTCACCTTGCGGCATCAAACGCGTGCCCCCGGGGTCCGCGTTAACGAGCTGCTGGGGCCGTTTCTGTTTCCGGCGTGACATGATTCACGAGCAGACGGTGAGAGTTACGGGCATCAAGCAACTTTGCAACGCAAATTATAAGGTCGGTAATGAATAACTACGTATGGAACTCCTCTGTTCGTAAATAATCCACCTTGCAGAACGCGTTAAGATAACATCGGCTTCTGTTGAAAGAGTTAGTTAAAAAAAAAAAAATGTAACTTAAAATTCGTGTGGGCTGCTGAAGCGGACTATGACATCGTCCGCTGTTGCTGTGTGAACTGGCGAGTGCGTGTGTGGCTGTTTTTCCTCAACAAGTCCCCTCTTTCTCAAACTTGTCCACTCTGCGGACCCCCCTCCTCTCCTCTCCAAAGACACACACACACACACTCACACGAAAATACAATCTCTCCTTGTTCTGACATTTGCATTTCAATGGCGCGGAACACCGTCTCCTTTTCTTTCTTTCTCCCTCTTTTGCGTTTCACTTAATGCTAATAGCTGCTCTCTAGTAATTTAGACAACTGAGTTATATAGCCTACCAATATGAGTCAAAACGAATTTCGTGGCTTTTTATATTTAAACATATGCTTGTAATGTATGCAAAAAGGGAGTTTATACCCCTCAGGATTCTGACATCTGCCTGTTTTAAACAACTTAATGACTACACTTCATTTACTGCGCCCATTGAGAATTTGAGAAGGAGAGACACCTTTTGTATTGGCAGGTCTACTAAGATTTATGTGAAATCTCAATAGGCGACATTGCAAATCATCTGATTCACAGGAAGGTAAAAAAAAAAACTGACTGAGCGTTATCAGGTTACCTAGAAGGAAAATATAAATTAGCTCAAGTAGCCTATTATTGAAAGGGATAGTGGAAGATCGTGTAGGCCTATGTAAAAATACACCAGATGTTAAAGTTATGTTATAAAAGCAAAAAAATAACATGAAGGGATGATGGGATGAGATAATACGTCAAGCGGCTTATAGACTATAATTGCACGGGCTACTGGAGTAAAGACCCCCTGCGGCTCGCTCACTTTGTCGGTGCGTCCGAATATTCGGAGCTCTATTTAAAATGCATTGAATAGGAAGGGAATTTCCAACAATGGCGACCTGGACACAGTTGAGTGGGCATCTCTTTCTCTCTCCTCACCCCCAGGATCCATTGCCGCTCCGCACAATGCCCCCCTTTCACCCCCGCCTCTGTTCCCATACACCACGTGGAGGAGGGATGAAGTGAAAAGCCATTTTTAATTAGATGTATCAAAAACATGCAGCCGACCTGCACCGTGTCTCATAAAAGGCTAAGTGGTCCACTGACCATTAGGCAGTTTTTTTTCTTATACATGAGCGGGTTTGTTCATGCAGGCTTATTTACAATAACAAAGCATAATTTAAGATAAAAATAGTTACAATAACATTATACTGTACGCTTAAGGCAAACCAACAATTCAAAAAGAAAGAGAGACAGTGTAGAACCATTATCATCATGGCGCACATGCATCTGTTGCATCGCTGCTGTTTTTTACTTGTTAATTTGTTGTTATATACAGTACTCATCAGTGTTGCCAGATTGGAATTGGAATACATTTGGCTGATTTTGATTGAATTGTGCAGGGAAAATGTGCTTAGTTGGGTAGACAGAATTTAGGCTGATTTACATTAATTTGGGAATTTTTCTAAACATTTAAGTTAAGAATTTGCATTGCTTGATTAAAAATAGCTTCTCGTTCAATCAAATCAGACAGAACATTGAGTGACTTGCATTATATAATGCTGTTCAGAGGAGGTACCGTTTTCCAAATATACGTGTTTGCTCATAGTTTTGGGTGATAGTAGTTAGTCAATCTAAACAATGCCAAAATTGGGATATATAGGAAAAACGGAGAAGAAAACAACAGAAAATCAGAAAAAGGTCAATAGATCAGTGGTCAAGACCTATACCCTTCTCATGCCCAGTTGATGCACTTGATACTATGGAAATGCTGTAGGCTATCTGTGAGTTTCTCTTCTGAGAAGGCCTTTGATGTATTTTGGCTATAACACTGTGTGATCGCCTTCCACATATTTGATACTTTTTGAACAATCATTGGGCTAGAACAAAATCTACATTATAGTTCAAAAGGTTTGGGTTAGTAAGATCCGTAATACTTCATGGATGTGTTACATTGATTACAAGTGACAGCAATGACCTTTACATTGTTACAGAAAATTCTATTTAAAATAAATGCTAACTTTCTTTTATTTCCAAAATTGATTGAGCATATATAATGGCTTCTGAAAATTCAGCATTGCCATCACAGTAATAAATTACATTTATAAATTGTAATAATATTTCACAATATTACTGTTCTTACAGCACTTTTCAAATAAATGCAGTCTATAAAAGACTTATTTTAAAAACATAATTTTGAATAGTGTGCAACACATATGGGCAGACACATGCAAACATAGACATCAAAGGGGGCTTGAGCACCTGCCCTTTTTCTTCCTCAAGAGAAAGTGCCCTCTTTTTATTTTTAAATAAATGAATACATGTATATACCGTGTGTGTGTTTCTGTTTGCCACAGCTTTCCCTGTCAAACAAATAAAAAATCTAAATATCAGGTCGAGTCGGGAAATGTTGAGACTGTCGAGTTCTGATGCCTTTCTCCCTCCTCGTCTCCGCACAGCAGTGTAGCACACATTGATCGGCACATCACAGTCACAGACAGGCAGAGAGCCGCAGAAGTGAAGCCCTCCCTCTCTTACAGTTGTGTTTGTCTTGGTGTGGTGATGAACAAAAGACTAAGCTACCTGTGCCTTGAATTTACAGCTAATTATCCAAAAGACAAATACAGTTAATTTTTCTTGCTATCATCCATGACTCAGCTACCATGTAAGTTTAGCTAAGGCAATAGGAAGTCAAGATATGGGGGCACAAATGTATATATTTATATATAGTTAATCAGTATCACGTGAAGACTTTAATACAGCAGATTCATTTCTATCAGCAAAATGTTGTCTAATTATCGTTATCGATAAAATCCCAGAAAATAGCGAGACATATTTTTGGTCAATATCGCACACCGCTAATATATTTAACGTTTTGTTTAGGAAAAATTTTTAATAAATATGAGAGATGCCCTTTTTTCCACTTCAGCCCCAGCCCCTCAAAATGTCTGTGCACGTAAGTGCAACTGACTTGACCAATGAATATCCTTTTTTTTTATTCTTCTTCCTCGGAGTACGTAAACAATATTTATGACTGTTTCTGTTTGTCCTGAGGAACATGTGTGCATGTGTGTGTTTCTGTTTGCGCACAGCTTTCCCTGTCAAACAAATAAAAAATCTAAATATCAGGTCGAGTCGGGAAATGTTGAGACTGTCGAGTTCTGATGCCTTTCTCCCTCCTCGTCTCCGCACAGCAGTGTAGCACACATTGATCGGCACATCACAGTCACAGACAGGCAGAGAGCCGCAGAAGTGAAGCCCTCCCTCTCTTACAGTTGTGTTTGTCTTGGTGTGGTGATGAACAAAAGACTAAGCTACCTGTGCCTTGAATTTACAGCTAATTATCCAAAAGACAAATACAGTTAATTTTTCTTGCTATCATCCATGACTCAGCTACCATGTAAGTTTAGCTAAGGCAATAGGAAGTCAAGATATGGGGGCACAAATGTATATATTTATATATAGTTAATCAGTATCACGTGAAGACTTTAATACAGCAGATTCATTTCTATCAGCAAAATGTTGTCTAATTATCGTTATCGATAAAATCCCAGAAAATAGCGAGACATATTTTTGGTCAATATCGCACACCGCTAATATATTTAACGTTTTGTTTAGGAAAAATTTTTAATAAATATGAGAGATGCCCTTTTTTCCACTTCAGCCCCAGCCCCTCAAAATGTCTGTGCACGTAAGTGCAACTGACTTGACCAATGAATATCCTTTTTTTTTATTCTTCTTCCTCGGAGTACGTAAACAATATTTATGACTGTTTCTGTTTGTCCTGAGGAACAAATGTGTTATTGAAAGTGCATCATAATTGCGTTTCTGGAATTATTGGAGTTCAAATGAATAGGGAAAGAAATTATGTTTCACTATTCCTATGAAATATTAGATATTATTATGAAAATCTTGCCAATTATTACTCCCATCATTACACTTATTTAGGAATAGGAAGTCTATAGTAGGTTAGTGCGCGTTCTTTCACTGCATGATTCAGTTTATTAAAATGCATTTAGAATGATCACAAAATTCAAGATATGGGGGCACAAATGTATATATTTATATATAGTTAATCAGTATCACGTGAAGACTTTATACAGCAGTTCAATAAACATGAATTTAATACACTTACGTTAGACACAATTGACTGTTTTTGGTATATTTCGCCAACAAATATAATTCCAATTTGCATCTCTGAGCAACATGACGGTGTTTCGTTCCTGAATGAATCAACCGTTTTAAATGATTCAGTTCAATCGCAATGACTCACTTATTGACAGTGACTTGCTGCCACCTACTGGTGGTTTTAATTTCACATTTAAAATATATTTTCCTTTTAAAAAAGATCAAATATCAGTATTCAACATTTTATGTTTAAATGATCAAAACAGTATTAATGTATTTGTAACTGCAGGTTAAATGCATTCTTGTCCTGCATTAAACAGTGTGTAAATGCATCTAAATGCCACTTCTAACGCAGCCTCTGTGTTTCCTCTGCATTGCAAAGATGAATTTTGTCAATACTGATTTAATTTACTTGGTAACAGCTCAAATGACTTATTAATTAACTGATTCAAGTTAAGAATTTGACTGAAAAGATGATGCACACTTTTAGAAAAAAATGGCTTTATAAAGGTAAAAATACCCATAAAAGGTAAAAATCCATTTCAACTTATTGGAAAAGATTCATTTCTATCACTGCTGTGAACTGATCACCACAGAATATGCGGAATATCAAAAACTTTGAGTCAGCTGTCCACGGCAGTCCTTACCAGATATCAGCACAATAACACACTCAGCAAAATGTTATCTAATTATCGTTATCGATAAAATCCCAGAAAATAGCGAGACATATTTTTGGTCAATATCGCACACCCCTAATATATTTAACGTTTTGTTTAGGAAAAATTTTTAATAAATATGAGAGATGCCCTTTTTTCCACTTCAGCCCCAGCCCCTCAAAATGTCTGTGCACGTCCCTGCATATGGGCAACCATTTATCATGAAATATGTTTCCTGTTTCCTTAGACCAAACCCTATTTTAGTAAGTGCAACTGACTTGACCAATGAATATCCTTTTTTTTTAATTCTTCTTCCTCGGAGTACGTAAACAATATTTATGACTGTTTCTGTTTGTCCTGAGGAACAAATGTGTTATTGAAAGTGCATCATAATTGCGTTTCTGGAATTATTGGAGTTCAAATGAATAGGGAAAGAAATTATGTTTCACTATTCCTATGAAATATTAGATATTATTATGAAAATCTTGCCAATTATTACTCCCATCATTACACTTATTTTTTCCATTACATGTTGCCCCAAGAACACATTAATATTCAAATTAGATACAGTGTATAGATGCATTGTATGCAGTGGGAAAACCCATTTATGGCCATTTTACACACATACTGCATAAAGCTAAATGGTAAGCTAGATCAAATAATTCTGTTATATCTTTCATACATAGTTGAGAATCATCGTTATACAAAGTTCTGAAACCTAAAAATGTATTGGTGATTAAAAAAAATCTATTGTTTTGCCTATTCATATTCTTTCATGTCTTTTTTATTAACAATACATTTTTTTTTAATTATAAAAAGTCATAGTATCCTCTACAGAGTACATAACATATGAATAAAATCTATTTTTTTCAGAATTGTTATTTTTAATTTTTTCTTTCTTATGCCCTCAAAAACAAAACTAAATTCACAAAACTTTGTTCTGGGTCTGAAGAGGTTAAAACCCGCGCGGCGCTCTACCTGTGACTGATTGTAAATAATGAGCAACACCGGTGCAAATTCCCGGTAAACTATCCAGTTTATAAAGCTTCATACTTGCGAAGAGCGATATGTATATTTTATAACCGCATTAGTTTGATTTAGTATTTAGATATTGAAGCTTGGGAATACTTTTCCCGCGCTTTGCTAGCTTACACGTAAAGCGCTAACATATACTTTTTTAAAATCATTTTTCGTTAGCGTAACCAGTAAAACAACATACATATACTAAGAAATATAATAATTTACATTTGTTTCCTTCCATAAGAACCGCCATGTCTGCATCTAAATTCACCTTGCTGTGTAATTCGCATAACTGCCGGACCAAGCTGAGCGGGTTCGCCTGGGTCACGGCCTGCTCTCATGTATTCTGTGATCAACACGGTACGGAAGAATTCAGCCGCACACCTGCCATCTGCCCCGCGTGCTCCTCCATGCTCTCGGGCAAACTGGACGTACTTAGAACCGAGCTGGCACCATCAGAGCAATACAAGGCTATGGTTTTGGTCGGATTACAGCCCGAAACTGTTTTGGAAATCAGTCATAAAGCGCTAGACTTTTGGACCTACCAGGTTTGATGTCTGCAGGGATGCAATTCCATAAACAGAAAAGGTTGGGATTGATGCACCTTCCTTTTTTCACTTTTGTTTGTGGTCATTTTTAGGTAAACCAGGAGAGGTTGCTGATGGAGTACAGTCTGTCCAGGGCTGGAGGACAAGTGCTTCAGATGGAGAAGTTTATGATCCAGCAGAACCAGAGCAAAGAGCTCGAGTTAAATGCATTAAGAGGGGAGATCGCATCCCTGAAAAAGGTCTCAAACATGGTCAAAGCATCAAACCAATGCCCACACTTGCAGTTTATACACAGTAACGGTCAAAATAACTTTTCCAAAATTTCAAATAATAGAAATAAATCAAAAACCATGAAATGACATGGAAGACAAAACATATTGTTGGTTCTTCAACATTTTCATAAAAAAAAATAAATATAGCACGCTTTCCACAAAAATATTAAGCAGCCCAACTTTTTTCAACACTGGTATTAAGGAATGTTACTTGAGCATTTGTCATGATGAAAATTCAGCTTTGCATCACAATTCAAATAAATAAAATTCATTTTAAGTTGTCGTTTCATAATATCACAACTGATCCATTTTTTTTTTTAATTATTTGTGATTTCAAGCATCGAAGCAAGTGACTTTAGCTCAAAAGTTTAAGATCACAAGAAACATGCAATCAAGTTAACAAATCATTGGTTATAATTGGTACTGTGTATATATAGAAGCATGAGAGGGATGCTTTTTTTGTATTTCCTTAACTGCTATCAGTGTCCTCATTTTCAACTTTTACATTCTCCAGGTGCTGGAGGAATATAAGCGGAAGTACAGTGAGGTTTTGGAGCGACTGAATGAACGAAATGGGCAATATCAGAAGCTGCAGGGACTTCTCGACTCACTACGGATGCACACGCTGGGAACGGGAGAGAAAGATCCCATTTCCCACCCTTTCACTACAGGTCAGGTGGAAAACAAGCAATGGGTAGAAACAAAAATAATGGTTCCTTATTTAAACAAATTATTGTAGTTGTCTACTTTTATCCTGCATAAATAAAATCAGGTCCAGAGTTCTTTATCTTACGGAGACTAAAATTGTTCAGATGTGATTGACTGTTGTTAAGCATTGTAGTGTATGAAAAATCTTTGCAATTATTGTCATCAGGTTTGGTCAAACCACGCTCTTCCCATAGCAGTCCTTCATTCCTGGGACCAGAAGGTGACAGGTTCTTCTCACTGGGGCCAGAAAATGCTAAAACTTTCTTCCAGTTCAGCACACCCACCCGAGACAGAACCCAGACTTTTAAGAAAAACTAAGTATGATTTAAATTTCACTAGGATGCTTTTTTCTTCCATTTATGAATTCTAATTTCAGTTCTGACTGCCAAATATGGTTGTTTCGGTTCAATTCTTTGTTTTTGTTTTTTCAAATTGGTTATTTACTGATAAAGCTGTTACACAGTTTAAAGAAGTTTGCTCTGCTATAAATACTCCCAACATGTTTCCACTAATGTAAATGACCTTATTGTGGAAAATAACTCATAATTAAAATGTGGAAAACCCTACATTAAGTAGGAACTGCCAAACTGATCAAAGTAAGACTGGGATTTCTTTTTTTTTTATTTTATTTTTATTTTCACAACCCAAATATGAAACAGACCGCACGCAGCACAATCTTAACAATGATGCCCATCAACAAGAGGAAATTTAAAAAAGGGAAATGATTTGAAAAAATATGTACAGAGTTTTGCTGTCCTCACAAACAGGAACAGAACTAAATATATACAAAATGGAAAAACACTACCCTCATTGCTCTCAATGTTCTCACCATATGTCCTCTCTCTGAGTTTATTCACTTTGAGGTTTGTAAGTAACAAAGGCTGCACTTTGGCTTTTCATCACCTGTCTTTTCCCATTGACTATAAGGAGCAAGGGAGAGTCCACACGTATACTTCGGAAGTCATATGACTATAGGGAGTAGCAAAGAAGAAACAAAGACATCAGTATTTGTTACAGCTATTGTAATGCAAAAAATAAGAACATTACATTTATAATTGGGTTATTACACCTGTGGCCACAGATAATGGCTGCAAACAATTTTGCTTGATTGTGTAAATAGGTACGCTACTGTTCAAAAGTTTGAGGTCAGTAAGTATATATATTTTTAAAGAACTGAATACTTTTATTCAGCAAGGATGCATTCAATCGATCAAAATTATGTTCTCTTTAACCTTCTATTCACCAAATAATCCTGAAAAAAAAGTATCATATTACCACAAAATATTACGGCACAATGGTTTTCAACATTGACAATAATAAAAAAAAAAATCTTGAGCACCAAATCAGTATATTAGAATGATTTCTGAAGGATCCTGTGACACTGAAGACTGAAGTAATGATGCTGAAATCATTTTTTAAAATCTTAATGACCTCAAAATTTGGAATGGTAGTGGAGATATAAAACTTTAAAATAGAATGAAAAGTTTTGTACACATACCTTATCTTTATGCGTTACGCTGTGCCGTTTAACCTGTGGTTCAGGAATGACTACAGTATCCCCTATTAAAACACCCCAGCTGTCTGCTGTATTATACACCATTACTACGCAACAGGTCTCTTCACTGTCCACCATGCCAAATGTGCTGCAAGACAAAAACAAGAAAACCATTTTAAAAATCAAACAACACCATCAGCAGACATTTAGCTATATCCAGTAACCTTCTAGTTTGGTTAGGAAATGTTTAGTAAATATTTGTAGAGGTGGTTAATGCGGCAGAGGCATTTAAACTCACAAGGCCATACGGCCCTCTGAGGCCAGACTGAAGACCACTTTTCCTAGTGCTGCCACCCTGCCATTGTGGCCTTGAGTGAGAGCGGATAAGCTGCGGGGATCAAGGCTCCCTATGCGGCCTGAGGGAGACCGGAACTGAGGGGAGGAGCACGGGCCCAGAGTGGAGGAACTGAGTGAGGAGAGCATGGTACGAAGACGCCGAGCTTTTATTTTCCCCTGAAACACAGAGAGAGTGAGGTTAATGTTGTTCCTTGCGGACCTCCAGAATATTGTTTTGACTGTACTCTACTGCCATCTCCTGGAATCAACTACATGTTTAATCAATTTGTTTTTCAATGTGATCATCATATATATATATACACACTATTACTGTTGGACAGATGCTTTTTTTCCAAATGCCCAAAAATCAAGATGTGCCATTTTAATACACTTTTTTAAAACCAGAAATGAAAGAGTCTAAACCTGTAAATAATGACAATGCAAGAGAACAACATTAAAATAAATGATTTACATACTAAATTCAATAGAAACTCCAGTAAAATGCAGATTTTGAAATGCTCATGACAGACATCATTATATGCACCTGCCACCTTCCATTTTTCACTTGACGTTAGGCCTGTCGCAATAATCAATATATAGACTTAACGCACAATATATGTACATGACCTCAATAATTTTTAGTTACGCAATATATCGCCCATTATATTTACTTAAAAATTAATGTCACCATGTTTTTTTACATTCCACTTGCGCCTGTGTCTTTTGCAGCTTCTCGTACATAACGTGGTGTAGTCATGAGGTGCTAGTTAAAATTTTAAAAATGCTTCTACAAAGATATGCATCTGTGCCTTTGTGCATACAGACATCTGACTGCTAAGTAGTGATTGTTTTTTCAGCAATAGTGTGCACCCTTAAAAATCTGTAGATGGAAAAATCTCCATACAAGTTCTTTTTTGTACTTGTTACTTTGCACCTTTTGTTAGAAAATGTTTATTTACTATTTATTCAAGTTTTTAAGGTATCAAATATTTTGATACTTAATTTCCATGATCTAAATATTCTTAAATTAAAAGTGTGTAGGCCTTCTTGCATTATTATGCTGTTACATTATGATTATATATTCAGTGGCATAAAATGGTCTTTAAAATGACAATAATATCACTTATTGCAATTATTTCTGGGGAAATATATCGCACAACAAAAAGTTGTTATCGTGACAGGCCTACTTGACATTTGAATAAAGCTGAGCATTTCAACGTTCACAAGATGCTCTCGACGATGTTTCTCTGTTCTGCTGTCAATAGTTTAACTCCCATAGAAATAAAATGAAAATGCCTGTTCTGTGCCAGTATAAACCGCAAAAGTTACAATGTCACTGTTCATTTATCTCACCTTATTCTCTATTAACACTGTAACCTGGTCTAAGTAATTCAGCAAATGTTTTTCTCTCTCCTGAGCATCTTCCCAGCCAGGATCCAGAGCTGCAGCACGGCTGTATCCATCCAGAGCTGAACTGTACATCTCTTCATACTGGAACAACTGGTGACAGAAAGGAGTTTCTTAGGCCTGTTATACACAGTGGAAGTGCAACAGCAGGCTGTTTTCAAGTTTAGATAAGTAACAAGGAGGATAAGATGCCGGTTTTACAGTGACATATTTGCTGGTGAACACCGGAGTCTGAGAAAGTGTGAGAAAGCAACTGAAAGAATTGTTACCGTAGCTCTGTTGAAGTGGAGGTCAGGATTCATTGAGGATGCTTTGTCGATTTTCTCCTGTACATATGCACAGATAAAATTATAAGGTAAGATGATGACAACCAGCTTTGGCTCAATAATATTATAATATTATGAATATTAACAAATGAATGTTAGGATGATACATGAGGGAGAGGAAGAGGAAATACTCACAGCCTGTGCATAGGCACTGAGGGCCTGTTGAGAGAGCTGTGGGTTTTGTCCACTGGTGAAAAACATGGAGATATATGCGTTCCCTAAAATATCTGTTGGGTCAAACCAAAACAGTATAAAATAATGCATTACAATTTTTTTCTAATTATATTCCGTCTCTATTCAGAAATGCTGATAGGAAACAATAGCTGCGTTCCGATCGACAGCCTGGATATCTGTTGGAGTTCACGTCACTTGACAAAAACATTTCATTTTCATTTAAAAGGATAGTTCACTTGAAAAGGAAAATTCTGTTATAATTTACATACCCTCATGTCGTTGCAAACCTGTATGACTTTCTTAAATAAGATATTTTGAAGAATGTTAGTAAACAGTTTAAATGTTTCTGTTATATGGACAAAAAATACAACGGAAGTCAATGGGAACCTAAACTATTTGGTTACCAACATTCTTCAAAATATCTTTTTTTTTTATGTTCCACAGAACAAAGAAAGCCATATAGGTTTGGAAAGACATAATTATCATTTTTGGGTGAACTATCCCTTTAAAGGGGTCATATGATGCGATTTCAATTTTTCCTTTCTCGTTGGAGTGTTACAAGCTCTTGGTGCATAAAGAAGATCTGTAAAGTTGCAAAGACTAAAGTCTTAAATCCAAAGAGATATTCTTTATAAAAGTTAAGAGTCAACCACCCCCATCTAAAACGGCTCGTTCTAACACGCCCCCACATATCTACCTCACTATGTGGGAAGATTTGCATAACGCCGCCCAAATGTTCACGCAAAGAAAGAAGGCGTAACTTTTATTCTCACTGTAGATTGTTGCTGCCGCCATGTCGTGAAGGCGCTGTGTGTTTCTACTTTGTTTGGCCTTCCAACTCCAGCCCGCTGTATGTTTCGTTGTGAAAGCGAAACTACTTTGTTTGGTCTTCCAAAAGAGGACACGACTAGAAATCAGTGGTTAAGTTGTATTTACAACACTGTTCCAGAACAGTTCAACCCAAATATTCCGATGTGTGCAGCACATTTTATGGAGGACTGTTTACTGATCCTGGGAGAGTAGACTACAATGCCGGCTGTTCTGACTCACAGACTGTAAGTACGTTTTTTATATTTAAAGGATTTGCCACTGATGATTCAAACGCGAGTTTTGAGCAGTGTAGAGTAGTGCTTGTTGTTTGTCATTTCTCTGATCACAAATGCAGACATGGTTTTATGTTTACGCGGCGCGATGCAACGCAACACGAAAAAAGACAGTATAAATCATTATAATCTGTAATTATGTCCCCACTGGATGCAACAAATGCCTCGTTTATAATGGGTTTTAATGTTTTTGTCTCGTCGCTCCGGCATCACAGTATGGTAAGGGGCGTAACATTTCCGTCACACGCTTGAGAAATTCAGCCAATCACAACGCATTGGATAGCTGGCTAATCAGAGCACACCTCACTTATCAGTCTGATGAGCTTTGTAAAAATCTATGCGTTTCAGAAAGGCGGGGCATAGAGGAGGAACAATAATGTATAGTATGTGGAAAATGTGTTTTTTGAACCTTAAACTGCATAAACATATTTCATTACACCAAATACACAAAATAATGTTCTTTTTAGCAACATCATATGACCCCTTTAAGATGGCAAAATACCCTGTGAAGTCCAATTTTTTATTTCAGATTATTTCATAGGTTATTCCACTTAAGGTCAAAAGGAACGCACCTAATATGTCTTTTTTCACAATAGTAGTGTAATACACTCACACCACGAAGTCCCATCAGTGACGTCGAGTTGCACAGCCTGCCTGGCCAGCTCCACACTCTCCACAATGTGTTTGCTCTGCCCCTGAGTGTCTACTTCCGGTGGCATCTGTCGCAGCACCATAGACAGGCTTCTCAGAGACACTTTATTCTTACTCTGGATGAAGATAATACAAAAAAAGGTTAATCTGTGAGCTTCATGAGAAGTCCAGTATCAAAAGAGCCAGATATCATAAAATATATTGGGTATCATTCACTAATAATTGCATTGATTGTTGCTTATATGTAATGCTCATTATTTGTATGCATAACTTCTGACAAAAAATTCAGGCTAATTCCTCAAAACCACAATAACCACCTTTTGTACAGACCTCTTGTCTTATTACAGCTGTACACAGCGTCGGTGCCAGTGTCGACCTGGCCAACTAGGTCACTGTGCCCCCTCACCTCCCTGGCCCCAGATTTCTATCGAGGCCCCCTCAAGAAATGCAAAAAATGCCCTCCCAGTTTGTATGGGCTGGCGCCGACTCTGGCTGTACATGTTCCCTGTTATACTGAGAAGCCTCGCATCTCAAGCTATAACGCAGCTTTCTTTACACTTTCACTGTATATGATAAAATATATTTAAGATTAAATAAAATGTAATGATTGTAATCGAATGATTTATTCATTTAATGATTATAAGTGATTATAACACTGAGTAATAGTGTGTACTTAATGAACGAGACCAATTGTTCTTGGCTATAATAAGACTCACCTGCTGTAGTGCACCTGTGAAGCAGGTCTTGGCCGCTGTCAGGTCTCTTTTTTTCCAGTACTGCTCTCCCAGTGTGTTCCAGCCCTCAACCAAACCCGGTTCCAGTTTAACAGCCCGGGACAGACGCTCCTCTGCAGTCTGACTAAACCCTGGAGCAACATTCAGACACCGACCCCATAGCAGCAGGAACTGGGCACTGTGTTTGTACACGTCTGTTGAAAGACAGGGCAGAATATAATACTAGTAAATACATAGCAAGGGTTAGAAAAAAAAAAGTTATTTTCTTATTGTGACATTTTTAATGGTGCTGAGACAGTAATAAAGGATCCTGCTGTGTTTTTTAGCAACATATTTTCTTAATTATTTGTCAGAGTATATTTTATTAAACATTAAAAATTCGTAGAAAACAAATTAGTAATGCACACCTTCTTTTCCCTCCAGCCTCTTAAGTGTCTTTGCCATCTCTTGAGCAACATCATTCTGTTTCCTACCAGCGTCTTCAACGCTGTGCGTCTCAAAGTAACGGTCCCTAAAAGAGTAAAGATCATCTACCAGCTCCTGTGAGGAAAACATGCTATTAATGTTCATGCATTAAAGAAATAGTTCAGCCAAAAATCAATTGTGTCACCCTGTGAATCACAAAAAGAGATCTTAGACAGAATGAAGGCCCCAGTCAGCATGCACTTGCATTGCATCCTTTTTAATAAAACGAAAGCAAATGGTGACTGAGGTCTAAAGAGATTATTACAGAAAGCTAAAGAAATTATACTGTACTGTGGCTTTCGCTTACAAAAAGTTAAGAAACCATAACTGCAGTTATGGAAGTAAAGCTGTGGCATAACAGCATTTGTCATCAAAAACGAGATTAAAAACTATGCCAAAGTTTCTTACACTGTTTAAAGAAGAACTCAAATCAATTTACTATGGTTTTACAGTACTACAGTGAGTATCTCTTCCAGAGGGAGGTGAATGATGGAAAGCGCGTTAGGATAACACGATCAGGCTACACTGCACTGCACAAAGTTTAATAAAAGAGATTTAGATGCTGCTTGTCTTAGAAACCTGTTCGTTTTAATCAGTTGTTATAGTGACAAACGGCGCAGCAACCATGTGCACACTATCCGTCATCGACATCCTCATCTGAATGCGGTGATGCCTATTTATTTTGACCTCACTAAAAGACAAATGGAAATGAAAGAGTCAGTACAAACCTTTAACACTTGCAAGTCATCTTTGTCTGTTGTTTTCCGCTCCCCATCATTGTCAACCTCGGCCATCTTTAACATGTAAACAGGACCCGAGCAAGCGTGATAAACACAGAGGAGTGTGTTTGGGCGCCTCCTACCGGTCAGGAGACGAACAGTTTATTTTTACTTTGAGCATCCCTGGCTGGAACTACAGTCCTGATCACAGCCAGCACCTCCACAGTCTCAACTCAGGTAGGCCAAAATACAATGTGCACAATAAAACTGACAAAACGATAATGTATCATAACAGTTATGTGAATCAGGATTTGATGGAATGATCAGGGTGCAGTATAAATTCTGCTTATGGCCAGAAACTATATTCAAAATGTATATATTATCTTCCAGTGTGGGGATAGAAAGTCTGAGATAGACAGGATCACACACCTGTATGAAGAAGGAGAAGACCCAGTGCTATCACAACCCATAACTATTAACCTGAAGGTACATTAAAACTATTCATTTTTTATCTTTTTATTGGTAGAATATTAATTATTTAAGCATTGCTATTTGACAGTAAATTCATTCATTAATTCATTAACAGGAAGTTATGAGGGGCATAGGGCAAGTAACCAACGTTCAGGAGCGTTCCTTCACTGGAACGTGAAATATATCAGACCTCCAGAAGTGGAGCTGGAAAACCAATGAAAGTGTACGAAAAGAAGGTGAGATCTTACCCTTGATTAGTAACTACAATGCTTGATCTGACAAGTAATTAAATCAGATTGAATAGCTGTGATGTGAAATGTTTTTCACTCCTTTTACAGAGCAAACTAATTTTTTTTCAGCAGCACAACCAATGTGACCATTCATCCGAAGGATATCAGAACCTTTTTCATTCACTTTAAATAGACAGATCTGCAGATTCTTTAAGATCAATTCTAAATTGTCAGTAATGATTTTAAAGATGTGTATAATTTGAATCATTGAACCTTTTGCTTTATTTTTTCTTATGACGTTATTAAAGGTAGTGTTAAGCATCACACATTTTGTGAAGTGTTTAGACTCGTTTGTGTTCTTTGATTATTTCGGGAAAAAAACAAATTCAATCACGACATCAGGTCGGTGGCTGAATGTGAATTTTATTAGTTTAAGTTTAATGCAAAAAATGTTATATCGCCATTGATGCATTAATAGCATTGCTGTTGTGTGTATGCCACAAGAATGATGTTTTCACGTTTAGCTTAAAGGAATATTGCACATCAAAAATGAAAATTCTCTCATAATGTACACACCTGTATGCTGTTCAGTGTCATACAGGTTTGAAACATGTTTGTTGTTCCAAACTGTTTTTCCCCCTCTATACAATGGAAGTCAATGGGCTCCAATTTAGTTTGGTTCCCGACATTCTTCAAAATATCTTTTGAGCTCCACACATTTCATTTTTATGTGGAATATCCTTTTAACTTCATAAAATGAAAATAATGTGGTGAAAACATTTTGTCAACACATAAAACAGTATGAAGGCTGTAATTAGATTTTTTTGTTCAATGTTTATTAAAACATTATTGTCTGCTTCAATGTTTATTAAATTCTAATAACCTTGAATTTGAGTATTGACAATGTCCATACACCAACTGATTCTTAAAGTATATGTTCTGTAAAAGGCTATTTTTACAAGTTTTATATGTTGCATTAAGATATTAATTCACACTGGAAATTATACACATGTACAGTATGTTAATTCATAAATAGGTCTGCAGTCTGAACATTATGTTAAAAGTCTATTAAAAAGCTGTTAAATGACTAGATGTTTTTATGTTCTCAAAATATTTGTATAGAGATATATTAGTGATATTATGTTTGACTAAGGTATAATGTATTAATGTATCTAATAATGTGTTCTAAGATTGAGATTTATTAGTAATATTAGTCTTTTTAGATGCACACACTCTCACTTTCATTGCGGAGTTGTGGGTGGCGTCATAACGATGACAGGCTGAAAAAGACAAGCAGTTTACAGTCGAGAATTGTGCATAATACTGTGCATCATTCATACAGCTTGCCAGCATCGACAGATATGAAATGAGCATTGCTTACCACATGAGATCTGGGAGTGCAGCAAGGAATCACCTTGCAGCAGTATGCAGCTAGTGTGACAGAGAGGACAATCTGAGTCACCTCCGTCAGCTCATCTAATGAATACAGTAGATCAATCCCTTCTGTAAGCAAAGAGGATAAACAATATATAAATATACACTGATCAGCCACAACATTAAAACCACCTGCCTAATATCATGTGGTTCTCCCTCGTGCTGCCAAACCAGCTCTGATACATCAAGTCATGGACTCCACAACACCTCTGAATGTGTTCTGTGGTTTCTGGCACTATATGTTAGACAGATCTTTTAAAACCTGCAAGTTTGCAAGGTGGGACCTCCATGGATTGGATTTGTTGGTCCAGCACATCCCATAGATGCTCAATTGGATTGAGATCTGGGAATTTGGAAAACAGGGCAACACCTTGAACTCTTTGTGTTCCTCAATCCATTCCTGAACAATTTTGTGTGGCAGGGTGCATTATCCTGCTGAAAGAGGCCGCTGCCTTTAGGGAACACTATTGAAGGGGTGTATGTGGTCTGCAACAAGGCTAGCCTTTGCTCCCCATTTACAATGGGACCTTGGGCGTCCATGAGCCTTGGGTGTCCATGACCCTGACACCGGTCCTTCTTTGCACCACTTTTGGTAGGTAACCACTACACACCGGGAGCACCCCATGAGAGTTGCCGTTTTGGAGATGCTCTGACCCAGCCGTCTAACCATCTGGGCCCACACACACATATCGATTCATGCTCAAACCCTCCAATGTGGCTGAATTACAACAATTCTGCATAGATGAGTGGACCAAAATTCCTCCACAGCACTGTAACAGACTCATTGCAAGTTATCGCAAACGCTTGATTGCAAGGTTGCCCAACCAGGTTTAGGGGGCAAACACTTTTTCACACAGGGCCATGTAGTTTTGGATTTTGTTTTCCCTTAATAATAAAAACCTTCATTTAAAAACTGCATGTTGTGTTCACTTGTGTTATCTTTTATTAATATTTAAATTTGTTTGTTGATCTGAAACATTAAAGTGTGACAAACATGCAAAAAAATAAGAACTCAGGAAGGGGGCCAACACTTTTTCACACCACTGTACATATATATAGATAGATAGATCTCAAAATATCAATATTTAAATGATGCATAATCCACAGCCTAGTGATTTGCAAATGTGAACAGCATACAGTGACACTAATAACTTTAAAATTTTCTATTTAAAACTGTTTTGCTTACCTCTAATCGTATACATGTGTCATTTTCATGTGTTATCTCGCTGTCATTATGATGCCAGCAGCCAATAAGGTGTGGATCTGGCTCAACAGATGTTCCCATAAGACAGAAAGTATATGCCACACATGTGACCACCTGCATTCCCAAACAAGCCTTGAGCTGTTGAGAAACAAAACAACAGACACACACTCGAAAGCTTATTTCTAAGTGCCTCTTCAGCAATACATTCTGAGTGGGAACTCAGAAATTTAGGGGGTACATTCTGCACATAGAACTAGCATGCATGATAGATATTTTTAATGATATTTCATCGTTTTTGCTGTGTCCAGAATAGACTAACTGTCCGCAGGTGAAGATTCTGCGCTGCTATTGCTACACCGCCAGAAAGTATGCCCAGTTTAAAGAAAACATAGTGGTAGGCTAAATCATATTGAAGGATATTTTTCTAGAGGAATGCTGGAACATTTATACTATCAAAAATTCTACATTTAAATATAAAATGAGTCAATAATTTCCAAAAAAAATTAATGTTATTATTAAATATATTTAACAATATATAAAATATTTTTACTGTTTAAAAACATATCAAATGAACACTTCAGATGAGACATAAAACTCCTCAGTAGATGTGTTTGAGACTACATTGTATTCTACTCCGATATCAACTTCACGTGTACCCCTAAAATCTTGGGTTCTGCCTCCAGGTATTTGTATTTTTGACAGGGGTTCCTCTGGAAAGTAACTTCCAGTAACGTTCCCGCCTCGCCCTTGCTCTGCGCGGCAGTAACCACTGAAACAAAGCCCGAAACCTCTGCCTCCTCGGGTTCGCCTGTTGATTTACAACACAAGTCTTGGATCATGCAGTCCTGGCTCGGTTGGTACAAATGACAATCTCTAAAATAAACATTATTTATAAGATATCTTACTGGTCATTTTCTTCTGCTGGTCTTCAATGTATACGTTAAAACAATCACTATATTGTATTGTGGCCAAGATCCCCTAAAGACGCCCTGTTGTAGGGTTTTCGGAATGTTTCCGCCCCTCTCCCATCCGGAGTGTGGAGAGTTCACAGTCTTTCGACATTACAGATGATCCACATAACGTTACGTCTTTTGCAGAGCGTTTTCCCTCAGTAAGAATAAGAAAGTTTGCAAAAAACGATGACAGCGTACACGACTGAGCTGCATTTAGGCTGTGAGAACCATAAAAAAAGTTGTGCATTTTGTTGGTTTTTTATGTCATTACATTGGTTGGAGCATAAGAAACAAATGTAGAAAAAACTACATGAAATTTTATGAATGTTTATTCATATAGGCAAAAACTACCCCTAAAGCCCAGGCCTTCGGTGCGCCCATTGCTCCAGCCTGCAGCCTACTTGGAGAACATGCAGAAATGTAAAAGAAAATAAAAGGTTATTGAAAGAAAAAGACAACTTTATTGTGTATATATTGATAGTCTAAATGAGATGAGACAAGAAGGATTAGCTGTATTCAGTTCCTCTCTTATTTTATGACAAATGTCAAATGTTTTTCCCCCACCTCCACTACTGCATCTTTCCTGACCTACGCTGGTTTCAAATTTCCTAGCAATTCCCAAAGTAAAGACGCACCCACACACGCACAAGCTCTTGAGCGCCATCCATCTATTCCATGTATATTTGACTTTCTCAAGAGGTACATAATTATTCAAATCAAAAACATATTTTAGGGGGTATTTTTCTTTTTATCTATGTTGCTTATCTATCTATATATCATCTATCTATGTATCTATCTATCTATAATGTTACGTCTTTTGCAGTGCGTTTTCCCTCAATACTTAATGAAAGTTTGCAAAAAAAGATGGCAGCGTTTTATCTATCTATCTATTGAGAAAGTGGGTAACCATACTAAAATAAAAACTATTTTTTACTAACGTGCCGATTTGTAATTTGCAAAATAAGGTTGATAGTGGCTGCATGAGTGACTTCACTGTACATATGACCTTTATGAATCCCTGTCTCACTCTAGCAACAAGCACATTTAGCTATTTAAGTAAGTCTTTGTAACAAAAAAATTACGACTATAAATGGCTTAACAGTTTACATACTAATACCTTTCACTTATATTTATTGATAGGTGAAATCAAAAATCAAAACTGCTCTTCTAAAACCCTTTGCTCTTTCTAAAATCCTTTCTGCTTTTGTGTGGTTTCTGCGCAAAAATAAAGCACAAAAATAGTGCTTGTGTTTTTCACTTTTCAGAAACACCACAGAATTCATGTAAACTCGGTCATGTGAACAAAAATCTCCAGTTTGCATTGGTTCCATTGATACACAAGGTAATCCACATGAAATTCTTAAATACGAGTGAACTGCTTTTCACCTAACACACAACAATGCTGTGTAAAGTGAGAATGACAGATTAAATAAGACCAAATTTAAACGTGTTACCAGGATGATAAAAAATCATTATAATCGCTGATTTTTAAAACAAATTCTTTTTTATTTGTAACCAAAACTACATATTATTCCCAAAATTCAGTGCATACTATAAATGCAGCTCAGGATCACACTACAGTATAGTAAAGCTCTTCAGGTTAAAAACAGAAAAAATGCACAGAATGAATACTAGAATGCAACTGCTATTAAAATCCTTTCTATTACTAATTACACAATGTAAGCAACTGAATTCCCTTTTAGGCGTCCCTTTAGGTTTTAAGGCCCCTTTGGAAAGAATAGGGTACATATTTATCAGATTAACAATGGCTTATCAGTCTATCACAGAAAATGCATTAGATGTGTGACAGTGACGAGCACCTAGAGAACAATTACACTTAAGATGGAGCAACAGTAAATTATGCTAATCCTTCTGTACTGTCAGTATTAGGTTAGGTTCTTTAAAAAAGATAATTAGTTTACAAATGTAGGCTAAAAAAGGCATGTACTAAGCCATTTGCCATCTGGTTGTATTATGATCGTATAGTGATGTAGAAAGTGTGATGGCAACTTGAGCTTGTGTTAGTATAGTAACACATTTTTTGGACAGATCCTAGGCCATCCATGTTCATTGGTATACATAGGCAACATTCACTTAAGACATACATAACAGCATTAAAATTCCTGCAAACTGGAATTGCTAGTATTCTCATAAATCATGAATTGTAGGCCTTTATAGTGACTGGTACCCATCAGTCCTCCGTTTCCTGCTGATGAGGTAAGCAATGACTACAATGATGATGAGTATGATGAGGATTATGCCCACGGCGATGGGAACGCGGTAGTCAGGTTGATCAGCCTTGCATAGTTCAGCTGTTGTACAAGCACAAACAGAGCACAATGATCTTGTATCTCATTGTAAGAAATTAAAATGAAGTCAATATTGTAGTTGCAAAAATTAAAAGCTGGTATACACCACACGACTTTTCAAATCTGAACAGATTTTTCAAGTTGTTCTGAACACAACAAACTCACACAGAAATGTGTGTCAGTGCTTGGAGATGCATGACAAAAGAACAATATCCCCGTGTCTAAATATGCCTACTTCCATACTATATAGTAGGTTAAAAAATTTGTCTGAATTTCATTCATACTGCATACTTTTTTAATGGTCGCGAAGCAAGTTTTAAACCAAATGTAATACCTACTATACAGTATTCAATTTTGGACACAGCATATATGTTCTAAAAAAATATAAAACATGTTTGATATCCTCCAAATTGGATGGAATTGTAGTATGTGCCATCATACACTGCATGATTTTCTGTGACTTTCGGCAACTAGCGTTGATTCGTCGATACTGCAAAATGGGGCAAAAATCTGGGCAAATATTTGCAGTGTATTCCAGTAGATACTCAGGAGATGTCTGGCTGTAATAAAGTCTAAAGGCCACCTATTAACTAATGGGGATCTTATTCCCAGCATGTTTTTTTTAATTAGTTTTAATACACGTGGCCAAAATTGCAGTAACAACTGCTCATTTTCAGTTCTGTTGAAGATAATATTTTCATTTACATGACTTTTAAAGCTATCAAATCATGTCAAATGTTAAAAAAACAAAAACAACAATTAAGAGTTAAATTAAGAAGTAGCAGACTTTCATTTAAAAAAAACATGTTGGGAATAAGATCCACGTTAGTTAATAGGTGACTTTTGGACTTTATAACAGGCAGACATTTGTTTAGAGTCATCTGGCTGGTCTAACCAGCTTTTTTGCATTGCCATGACAGTTTTGCAACAATCTTTGTAAACAAGCTGTATGAAGCATCTAGGACATAAGGTATACAGTGCATGACAATGCATGGAGTCCAGTTCGATAGCAACATAACTTGTAAGCTTGTAACATAAAGTAGAGGTTACTTTAAAAATAACTGTCATCCACTACAAGGATGGAGTGCTTTAATATAATGAAGCATCATCACTCTATACTTACGTGGTCCGAAATTCTTGTTTTTGATATCGAAGGCCTGAAACCTGTATTGAGTCAGATCCAGACTCACACCGCCCCCCATGTACACTGTCTCAGCCTGGCAGGAGTAAGAGTAACCCAGATCCACAGAAAACAGCTCAAGAGACCTGTTCGTCCCTGTGTAATTCCTTAACACTTTGTTGACAAAAATAAAAATAATTTGATTAGTGTTGGCATGGATGTGCAGAAAATGATAAAAACATTAACCAAGTCTCTCCCTGTTCGTAATCCCACAAACTTAATTGTGATAATAATAGTCATAATTATAGCCAAAACGCTTCCATTAGCACTCGTTTCATTCACACAGACATAACAACTAAATATCTATGAGTCCTTATGCAACGTCATAAAGTGATTGTTTTTAAATTCAAAATGAAATGCATGTACACACATGGATTTTTCACAGTGAGGTAAAGACAATATTTACCGTAACCAAAAATGACACTAATACTTCCTTATTCTTTCTTGGCAGAATGTGACATTTATTGTTGCCAAACTGGTTGAGCTGCATGGCCTACTGTTTGCTTTATTGAGGCTTGGCTATTTATATCATAAAAAAAAAATCTGAAGAAAGATTTCTGTTTTCAGTAGATTTTTGAATAAGCCAATCATTTAAAAATCATATATAACTTATTACAGTTAAAATAGACCAATACTAAAATGTAACCTCTTTATATAGATTCACTATTTATTTAACTATATAGATAAAAGTCCAAAGTCCTGGGAATAAACTGCAGAAAATTGAGGATGTGTGTTGTTGTGGATGTTTTACAAGGAAAATTGAATTAGTCATATATGGCAGGGAATTTACCTCCTCTTTTGAAAGCATAGGTCAACTCGTATTGCACATACTTGACATATACCTTTTTTGTTGTCTTATTCTGGAAAGTCAGAAAAAATATTATTAGAATGTTAACCAAAAATACACAAACACAATAGAATATGAAGACCTGGTGCCTCCCTGTGAGCAAATTGATTTTTTTTTTTCTTGCTGGGAGTCAGCTCAGTTTTATATCAGACAGAAAATAATTAATGCAGTCTTATATACTTCCTCCTAAACTGCTTCAACGTTCCAGTTTTTCAGACCACACAAACTCAGGTTGTACTGAAAGATACATTAACTTTTTTTGGCAAGAAAGACCACTAGCCTGATACAGACTAACTGCAATGCTAAAAGAATCTTTTAGATCAGTGGTTTTCAAACCCTTGGTCTCGCGTGACACTTGGGTGGGTCGCAACTTCAAGACGTAAAAAATGGGTCGCCAGGATGATTTAAGGAAAATGTATATATGTATGTAACAAAGTTCAAGACTCAGGGAAGAAGGAAGTGGGAATCGGCAAATTTAACTTTAATAACAAAATAAACAAACAACAAAACGAAAGTAAGCAGCAGCCACCTCACGGCAGAATCCAATGTGTATTTGTGGTGGCGCTCAGTCTTGAACATTGTAGCCAATCACAGACATATCTGTTGATTTCTGGAACGCAATGGCCAATCAGAATCCACTCACCGCTCAAAATGCCAGAGTTTTTGTTCAGTCCTGAGTTCTGGAAGCTCGCGAATCCTCTCATTGTAATGAACAAAGT